AGTATATAATTAATTAATCCTGCATTATAATTATATATGTACGATTAAACAAGCGTACCTATTGCAAGACGATTATACGTTCCAGAAAAGTGATTGATTGGTTACCGTATTTAAATAATTAATTAATAATTAAATCTAGGCATGAATGGAAATATATTGTTTTAAATAGGTATCAATTTGCCAGACTTACTAAATTGCCTAGTAACAATTAATTCAGTGAGGAACGTTCTCACAAGTAGGGTCCAATAATACTCTTGGGAGAATAAAGAAAGTTTTGTACGCCGCCAATTCAAGAAAGAATGTTATCGGAGACGAAGTCTTTGTACGCCGCCAATTCAGGAATGTCATTGGAGACAAGGAAAGAATGTCAAATGCTGAAAATAGCCGACTGGCTTGATCTCTGTACATGGAAACTGTACGAACATGTGCGATGGTTCAGGAATGTAGTTGTTACCCGAGTTGTTCGCTTATACAGACCGTATAATGTAGGGTCTGTGGCCATGGCCTATACTACGTGTTGTTTTCTTCTCTATTAATTATTTTACATAAGCTTAATACAGACATTGATTATGATCATTAACCTCTGTTTGTGTTATAACCGTATTATTGCTTGTTAAACCAGGTTGAACTTTAATCAGTTGGTGAATTCGCATTAGGTTATTCATGTAGGTATTTTATACCTCCATGGGTTATTCATCAATCGGCATACACTGCACACTCGTTCTGCACGAATGGGCTGTTTTGCCCTATCTAAATACAAGCGTGACCACGGAAACGTGTATTTATATTGTTATCTTCTCTGTGAAGGGCGTTTACAGTTAAAGTTCTGGATTTTAGGGCGATGTATTTCATGTTTTTTCGTGCTTCAAATGAATCATTCGATCATTTAAGAACGTATAGGAATAGACATAATATACAATGAAACATAAAGCATCAAATACTGTAAACTAATAATATTACGAAAAATATAATAAAAATCCACTGATTTTTTTTTTTCTAAAATAATACACAGAATCATTGAAAAAACTAATGCCGGTCGGCAGACTGTCAGCGCCGGTCGGAAAATTTGAGTGCCGGACGGGGCATAAATAATGTGACTTTTTGTGGCGTTTATATACTTTCTGCTTCAAAATCAATCAATCATTTAAGAACGTATTATAGGCCTAGACATAATATACAACGAAACATAAAGCATCAAATATTGTATTGCTTTAATATTATATTACGAAAAATATAATTTGGCAGTATATTAATAATATTATCAACATTCTTCTTCTTTCTCTTCTTCAATATATGCATCGATACTGTAATATGAAAATAATAATATCCGTTGGTTTGATTATCAACATATAAATTTGTTTGTTTCAAATAGATAAAACGAAATAATTATGAATCTTAAAACATTATTATTAACTTACACAAACATAATAAAATCCACTGTTCGTTTGTTCCAAATAGGTCAAACGAAATATATGAATCTTAAAACATTATTATTAACTTACACAAACCTGACAAAATCCCTGTCTCTTATACACATCTAGATGTGTATAAGAGACAGGTCTAACGGTTGCTAAGCCATTGGCATGACTGCCAGAACGATCAACTATAGCATAAGGTGGAGCTGTAATCAACAATTTGGTTTAAATTTACATGGAAATTCTTTTACTAGTAAAATTAAATTATTATAAAATAAGTCCAAAAACTTATTTGCTGTAGGATTCTTATTGTGGTGGATATATCCTTTATACATATAAATTCGTTTGTTTCAAATAGATTAAACGAAATAATTATGAATCTTAAAACATTATTATTAACTTACACAAACATAATAAAATCCACTGTTCGTTTGTTCCAAATAGGTCAAACGAAATATATGAATCTTAAAACATTATTATTAACTTTCACAAACCTAATAAAACCCTCTGTTCATTTGTTTCAAATAGATAAAATGAAACTTATGAATCTTAAAACATTTATTAACTTACACAAACCTAATAAAATCCAATGTTTTGTTCGCAAACTCATCGCAGTATTCCATTTGAATTCAATTCCATTGAATTGCTTAAAACGACATTAATTAATTTGCAGCAAAATACCTGATAATACAACACGATATTAACATATGATTGCATATGCAATGTACATTTGTTTGTTTTAAATAGATAAAACGAAATAGCCATCTAAATAATTAATTATTAACTTATACGGGACTTACACAAAACCTAATAAAATCCACTGTTGTTTTGGCAAACTAATGGCAGCATAATAATGCCCGGATTTCCTTAAAAACACATTAATTATTTGGCAACATAAAAAGACCTAACAATAAGACACGAAATAATGGATACTGTAGCAGCAATAGCTTTGCGCCTTCTTGGTGTTCCATACAAATATATCTCGGCCGAACTACACTGTACTGGACTGCATTGTGAATGCGTCATCGGCGTTCCATACATATACACTCATTGGCGGCCGTTCTGGAGGGCGGCCGCTATAGGTAGCGGCCGATATGGGCCTAATTCCGCTCATTTCGGCCGCCAGATTTTTAACAATAGAAAGTATGGCGGGCCAATAGAGTTCCGTTGGTAGTGTGGTTGTTAAACATAACAAATGAAATGAAGTTGTATACTATACAGTAAATATCTTTTTATTCATGTCACCGTCTCAACCATCAAACGAAATCAACAAATGTATTTAATTAGAAAATCACGTTGTACATAAAACATATCGGAGATGGTTAAATGCTTTTAATTTATATGATATATAGGCCTAGGCCTAAGGAAGAAATATGCAGTTGGAGATTTCAAGGCAGCGGCTGGTGTAATAAAAAAAAAAAAAATTGATTTTATTATGAAATTTGAAATCATTATTGGCGGGGCACTATATTATTCATGTCATGAAAGTTGTACATAAAACACAAGATGTGTAAAATATTTTCTTATTTTATTCACCAATTCTCAACATAGAAAATAAATAAAAAATTTAAACACAACAACAAGTGATGAAAGAAAGTTGTATACTATACAGCCGCATATTTTTTTACACTACATTTTTATTCATTATCACGCAAGAAAAATAAATCTAACGTATCAACATAAAAAATTTTCACATTGTACATAAAACATATCGGAGGATGTACAATAAAACTGTTGTATGACTAAATTCTTCTCATTGGCGGCTGTTGTGTATTCGGTAGCCCCTTTGGCGTTCCATACATTTGGCGCGGCAGCCGGAATGGGTGGCGGCTGAAATGATCACCAGTCAGCTCGGGCCCATGTCAACACAGCCCCAAGTCCACTCAGCCCCAAGTCAACTCGTCCCCAAGTCAACTCGTCCCCAAGTCAATAATTAATATGCATAACATTAAAATAATATTAATAAAATGGGTATAATATAAAAACTAATGATAAATGATATGAACAATAGTAATATATTAATAGTAACTGGTTTATAGGCATATTATACTGATAGGTCAAAATTTTTCTCCAATAAAGTGTTTCTAAAGTCCATATATGGTGCTCGTTTCATATTATTTAATATATAAAGGATAGTTTAGATTTTACCTATCATGATTTATATACTCTAATTCGCACATAACTTACCTAAGAAAGGTCTCTTTGTGTCTGAGTTACCTGGAAAACCAGTACCAGCTGCTGTCGTCTGTCCTCTCAAACTAGTGTCAATATGCAATGCCAGTGTTTTAACTACCCTCCCATTCTACTCATCACAAAAATTTGTCAAATAAAACAATAACAAAGAAGATGTGTGGGGCAGAGCTTTACTTAATGTAATCTTTGCAGCGATCTTGTCTATTAGGTATATTTGAACCCAAAACACTGTGATTGGTAGGCAAATATCTGCATCACCTGTCTCTTATACACATCTAGATGTGTATAAGAGACAGGTACTATGTATTGAAAGTGTATATTCAGTATAAAGAAAGAATAAATAAATAAAAAATAAATAAAACTACCCTCCCATTCTACTCACCAAGAAAATTATATATGTTATCACATGCCAAGTGCAGTTATCAGCTTCAGTCGGTTAAATTAATCTTGAATTCATTTTAATACACTAGAATAAGAGTCTATCCCCTGTATTCGTTTCTTGTTCTTAATTTTTTTTTTTCTTATTTTCTCTCCAGGTATCATTTTAGAGTATGAACAAAGTCGAAGCAAGATAGTTAAAACAAAATCTATTGATCTTCTTGATTTAAAGCCAGAGTATGTATAAATTATATCCTAAAAATTATATTATATTTTGAGATAATTCTTTATAATATTAATTAAGTTGGGTTTTTTACCTACTGTGTACGATGTACAATACAATGTTCATTTCACATGTGTTTTTTTTCTCCCCTAGTGATCTTCTTGATTTAGTATCAGAAATACCAGAGTTTGCATTCACAACATTAAATTATGTTTGGAGATTATAATGTATAATAAAACACACTTTATAGGTGTAATTTTTGGCAAACCTGATCTGAAAATGTACTGATACTCAGTACTGTACATGTGAAAACACTTGCAATGTGATTTTTAAATGTAAATATTAATTGAATACTTTTACTACTTGTGTTTCTGTTTTGCATTTATTGTGAAGGCAAAATAACTGATATGATATATGATATGAAAAAAATCGCAAGTTGTTCTCGGCTGGGACTTGAACCAGATAACTAGCCTGGCATCATACCTCTAGACCACTGAGCTTGCACCTGATGGCCAGGTTTGAATTCGCGCCATGTAAGCAGAGGGTACTTGTCTATTCCATCATAATAATGACAATTAAAAAAACACTTTAAAGTATTTATATTATTAATGGTTTTGTTTTTTTTCCTAAATTTATATACTATACATTGTTCATTTAAAATGATTTTTTTTCTCAATTTGTTTGTATCAGTTTTAAAATGATGGTATTAATGAGCTGTCAGGAGTATAACAAAGATCAGGCTGTTAAGTTTGTGCTTCGCCAATTAAACAGACATCTTCATGATTGGCGACAAACACGCAAGAACTGTTTGTTGGCCCTGACGTTGCAATTCATTTATTTCATCTTAGATTTCAGGCGTTCAAATTCTGTTCTGTTCATTTGCTAGTGTCCTTGGGTCACATACTTTAACCCATGATTGTCTCACCTCTTCTATGTTCTTTTTTTTTTAACAGGTCAGATGTTGATGCCTTATTAGATCAGATAGCTCAAAAAGAGCCTTTAATAACGCCAGGCCGGATGGAACAAGTCCGACAACTCATCGAGAAACTTCAACAGAAACTCTCCCAATCTGATGATCACAAATTCCATTTGTTTAAGGTCGCTGCAACTGATTATACTTTTATCATTACAGTTATCTTCATTTCATTGTAATTATCATCATTAACTTCAGTGTCCAATCTTACGTATCAAGGCTTAATACCATAAATATCGCTCTTTTCTTAAATATGAATTTTGTCTGCTAAGTGCAGCTCTAGAATGTGTGCTACAACGCTTACCATATTGGAGATATACTATATTTTTAATAACAGCACAGCAAGAGTAGGCTTTACAATGTGGCTTGATATCTTATATCATTGACAACTGATGTCTCACAAAATTAGTAGTAGTACAGAGTTAAGATTGCCACAAGTCAGATAGACCCTATATGCGGGGTCCCAAGTGTCCCGGAAATCAGGAAGGCCTCCCGCACTTCCGCGAGCAAGCAAGAACGGCCCAGAAAATAAACCATCTCCCGTAAATTCATAATATTTTCATGTTTTTGCAAGTTTTTACTACTCTTATAAATTGTCTTCCGGAAGTTAGTGCCAATGTGTATCACCATCCACAGTAAACTATAATTTAAACAGCCCTTTAGGATGTGGATTCTTCCAAATTGGGACCCCTGTATATGTACACATATGGTATCATATTAACACTCTGATAATTTGTAATTACTCAGCATCTTTCTTGAATAATACTAGATACAAAAACAATTCTATAACAAACAATTGAACATCCAAAAGTTAAAAGAATTAATTTTAATCCCACAATGCTTTGCTCTAAATGTGCAAGAACTTCCCCCGGGGGAACTGGGTTCTTGTTCAAACTCTTTTGCTCCAATGACCAGACTAATACTTGAAGTAAACAAGCAATATTGTACTGTACTAACACGGCATGATTTTCTTTTTCATTTTAGGTTTTGCGGGCCCATATTCTTCCACTGACAAATGTGGCCTTCAACAAATCTGGCTCCAGCTTCATAACAGGGAGCTATGACAGAACATGCAAGATCTGGGACACTGCATCTGGGGAGGAGCTGCACACACTAGAAGGCCATCGAAATGTGGTCTACGCTATTGCATTTAATAATCCTTATGGGTAAAATATCTCTGTTATTCATTTCTTTAATAGCTTTTTGGTTTCATGGGTGAAGGGGGTTTAGAGTTGAGGTTTGCTAGTTAAATTATTTCTAACCCCAAGATTCTGGATTTAAACTTGGTTTACTGTGTAGTACTTTAGTCACCTTTATATACAAGGTCAATGGGCTCTTAACGCCACCTTGGAGGAGGTTATATAGTTACTATTAGAAATTCTTACCAAAAAAAAAATTGTATTTTTTGAAAATAGGGAACAAGAGCTTTTAATCCCTGATGCCCTCTCTAATAGAGATAATTAATTGTCACATAAAAGTGCGAGGTTTGGTTCCGCATCACAGTAACAAATTAAAAATAGCCATGAAACGGATAGTTGTTTGACCCTTCATTTGTAAAGACACTCCCTTGTTCCATCTTATTTGTCCTGGATCTGCTAATTATATAATTCTGATTTCCTGTCTTTAGTGACAAGATAGCAACAGGTTCCTTTGACAAGACTTGTAAATTATGGAGCTCAGAGACTGGCAAATGCTATCACACATTTAGGGGCCACACAGCTGAAATTGTAAGTACTGTATACTGTACTTTTTCTCAGTAAATGCCAAGTGCATGGTATGCCTTGCATAAGAAATTGGTTGACATTCTGAAATGAAGTATTGTATTTTCTTTTTTTATACCTTAATGTTAATTGTTATATTATGATTGCTCCATGACACTTTTTTGACACTGTGTGGAATCAAAATAAATATGTTATTAGGTCTAAACAACAAATCATGAACGATGTCATTTAACCTATCACATGGATTACCTGCAGTGATGTTAAAGCTAGTGCAGGGAAATTCCAGTGGAGTTATTTTTAAAAAGGTAATAAACCTGTGAACATTGCAACATGCAGAGGAAATCAGCTGTCTTGTAAATGCCGACACAATTTCTACCTGGTCACTAATTATACAATGCTTTTTTTTATTTTATTTTCCTACCAACAGGTGTGTGTGGCATTCAACCCTCAGAGCACCATTGTGGCCACAGGTAGCATGGACACAACAGCTAAACTATGGGACACGCAATCAGGCTCTGAGATTTGCACATTGTCTGTAAGTATGCCTGAAAATCGGTTCAACTTTCGAAACTCTAAAGTAATAAGTAATGCGTTTCTTTTTTTTAACCATATTTATTGAGGATGACCTTTTTTTAACCATATTTATTGAGGATGACCCTTCCAGCGTATTGTAGAATGTCTGCTGATATTCAGGGGCCCTCTTTCAGTAAATGAAATAATGTGATGCTTTTATCAGCGAAGTCTATGAGGCTTAGGAAGTGGAGTTGTTTTTAGTCGTGAGAAAAATTCCTGCTGTCGCCGAAATTGAACCTAGGACTGGGCCTGTTATCAGAAAGCAAGCATCTTAACCACTAAGCTATTCAACTCTACTCTACTGATAAAAGGTTATTGACGATAATGTGAATGATAGAAATTATGGTAATGAGATTCAGTATGTCAAAATGTTGGTGCATCAAGACTATGGTGATGTTTATTTTAACATGATGAGAATGATGATGTTCATGTGAATAGTGGCCATGATGATTGTAACAATGATGATGATACTGATGATGGAGTGAAAGATGTGGATGATGATAAAAATAGTACCATGATAATATAGATGCTGATACTAGTTTATATTCACAGTTCTTCTTTGCTAAATAATACTGATAGTACAGGCTAAATGTGACAAAAATCCTATTTAACCTTAAACAAACTCTAATAAAAGGACTGTTTGCATATTCTTGTAGGCCTATATTTGAAAAGTCATAAAAAAATTTTTGCCACTTTTTTATAGTAGCGTTTATAATATTTTCAGGGTCAAAGGTCAATTACCTATATGCAGCATGTTATATGCCGTAACTCTTCAACGACTTGCTCTAAATGTACAAAAGTAGTGTCTACACCAAGGTTTTTTGGGGCAACAATTATGGGAAATTTTTTACGCCTTTCAGTAGCTGCGCTGACCAAATATTCAGGGTCAAAGGTCAGAATAGCCTTTAAATAGCATGTTCCGTTTCATAAATCCACAACTACTGGATATCAATGCACGAAAATTGTGTCTACACTTAGATTTTGTGGGGTCAACAATTTTTATTGAAACATTTATATGGCCTTCTCAGAGTAGTAGCTGCGTTGACTAAATATTTAGGGTCAAAGGTTATTGACCTTTATACAACTATGATGGTCATAACTCCTCAACCAGTTTGTCTACATGGACAAAAATGGTGGCAACATCTACGTTTTTGGGATAATTTTTTAAAAAGTATTTTTGCCAACTTCTTCTGCATTGACTAAATATTTAAGGTCAAAGGTCATTGACCTTTTCACAATATATGATGGTCATTACTCTTTAACCACTTGGTCCAGAAGCACAAAAAATAGTGTCTACACAAAACATAAAAATGAGGTGTACTGTATGTTTTGGGTGTCAACAGACAATTATATTCTTCAGGCTACAAATGTATTCTTCACTGATTTTTAGAGCAAAACAACAGCCTCTTAAAACCGGTTTTCTTAAAGTAAATCAGTCCATTAATTAATGACCACTTGTAAGCACCAAAGAAATGATGAGAATCCAAGATAAATCTGATACAACTATGGACCAATCAGAGAGCAGCTTGGAAATTATTAGACTGGGCAGCCAAGCATGACATGCTCCAAACTTTTTTCTACAAGCTTTCTTTCTATATGGTGGAGTCAGTAGCTTAAAAGTGACAGCCTGTTGTTAAATTGAGGGAATGTTGAGAAAAAATATAAAGCATTTGCAGTATTAGGTAAGTTTCCCATAATATATGTATTAATTAAATGTAGTAGCCTAGGCCTAGTTAACCTAGTACAATGTCGACCATAACACCAACACACTGGATGGGAAGGGATGCTTCCACGGTCTTGGAATAATTGCGGCAACTACACCAGCCAAGAAGACGACAAACCAGGCTGTATAAAACCAGTGAAAGACAACCCTCCCATTTCAACCCAAAAGATACTGATTCTCCAATATAGCTATGGGAAGAGACATCTGGAGAAGAAATTCAAGGAGCTACCAGAGCTACAAGCAGTTGAATAAAAATGTGATCTTTTATGGGAGTTCAGTTTTATAAGTTTAATCGACCAATGCCCATGTGGCAAGGAATCATGGCAACAGTGCACAACCAGGAAAAGTTTCCGGGGGTTTCTAAAATTCACTTCCTGCCTATGATTGACTTGTATTCTGGTGACGATCGTGTTTACTTTCAGCAATACATTATGTATCAACCATTGCGAGGAAATATGGCCAGGATACAGTGGTAACATTTGACCAGCCACTCTACTGGAAAGCGGTAGAAATAACTTTGAACTCTCCAGAACCGAAATGTAGTTGTCATGATGGGTGGATTTCACTACCTCATGGACCTCCTTTGAGCAATAGGAAAGCTGATGGAAGGCAGTGGCTTGAAAGAGATACTCGCCACCATATATGGTGAGAATGTGGTACAGCATATGCTTACTGGCAAAGCAGTTAACAAAGCATTCAGAGGTCATCTGCTGATGGAAAAGTGCTTGAATCTTTTGTTAATAAATATGCTAGAAGAGAGCAACCATGTCACAGAACTTGAAAACATCTATTCTAAGATTGAAAGAAATGAAGCAACCATCAAAGACATCCCAGAGAGATGTAACGTCAAAGGATCGTTGAATGACTTGAAAGCATCATTAGGATCTGAATCAAGAACATCACGCCTTTTTCTTAATTACATGAATATGATAAAAAATTGCCAGGAATTTGGTGGCTGCAGATCGTTCTGGCAATTGGAACTTGTTGCTAAAATCCATCAAAGACAGTCTACCTATTCTAGCCTCAAGCGGTAATTTCCATTATCTAAGGTCATCCCACTTCTTCCTTGAAGAGATGCTGAAACTTCCATATGAGCACCCAGAGCTTTACCAAAGATTTCAAAATGGCTTCCATGTAATAATACGCACTAATACTTTTTGGGCAGGACTTAGTCCCGATTCCTACCATAGAGCAACCATAATGAGATCTCTCAAAACATCAGGTGGGCTGACAAGAGGCAGCCAGATGACAGAAGCACAGCGGAATTTGTGGACACAATCAATGGCACATCGAGCAGCAATTAACCTTGCTATGCAGGAGGGCACAGGTGTGGATCTGGTGACAAGCGTGCAACATAAAACATTGGGAAGAGCACGATTGCAAAGAGATTGCGATGATGTTTCTCGACTGCTTGATGTTTTAAGAGAATACTCCCCATTTTCTGCAGATCCATTGCTCAGAAATGTTGTTACTGGTGAGGTTGCAAGTCAAGAAGTCAATGTGGACTCATACCAGTCTGTTGGAAAAGATATTATTAAACCTATGCATAAGAGAACTGCATTTTCGCATAAGTTTAAGAGAAGCCAGAAAGCAGTGACAATGGGAACTACAAACGAAATAAAAGTATACAAGGACATAAGTATTGACCCCACTGTGCTCGTTCAGTGGTTCCTTATCATACAGCAGACTGTTGATATTGATACATCTGATGTGTTCAAGTACGAACTGACTCCATATCCACCAGCCCTCTTTGTAAGAAACCATGTAATGCTGACAGCTGATAAGCCAAAGTTGAAGGAAGCACTGATAGCAGAAGCAATGTCAACGTTAAAGGCATACTCCTCAAAGACATCGAATAAAGAGCAGTTAGAAGACCTAGTATATGAAAATGAGCGAGGGGATTTGATAAAAGAATCAGACATGAATGAAGCAAAATTCATATTTGAAAATAACATACCAAAGACTGACAGATTTGTAATTGATGGTGGCTACCTTTTACACAAGTTGTTATGGCCCAAAGGAGTACCTTTTCAGAAGATAGTACGAAGTTACACAGAATACACTATCCAAAAATATGGCAGAGCTGATGTTGTCTTTGATGGGTATGAGCAATCCGTTTCAACCAAATGTAACACCCATGAGAAAAGAAGAAAAGGTGATAACCAAGTAAATTTAAGCCTTAATACTGAATGCAAGTATGAAAGGGAAGTCTTCTTAAGTAATACTGCAAATAAGAAACGATTCATATCATACCTATCAGATGAATTCCGAATCCAGATGTGTAACGTTACACAATGCATAGGAGATGCTGATGTAAATATAGTTGATAAAACCCTGGCCATTGATGAGACTGCTTCTGTAACTTTAGTAGGAGAAGACACTGACTTGCTTGTACTCCTGCTCTTTCATCTGAAAGATTGGCATAAGCCTGTTTTCTTGAGTAGTGATAAAAAGGGGGTAAGCAAGGCAATATGCATCACAACTCTAAAAGAAGCATTGGCTGATGAAATCTGTCAAGCATTGCCCTTTCTCCATGCATTTACTGGATGTGATACGTTTTCAAGAATATCAAATGTTGGCAAGAAAGCAATCATACAGAAGTTTAAGAAGTCTGATGTACTCAAAGAATGTGCTAAAATATTTATGAAATCAGACCAAAATCAAGCCATAATAGAAGCATATGGGCGAATGGGAATGAAGGAACTTTTTGGTGGAAAACAAGGTACTCTTTCTGAACTTAGAGATCAACTATTCAAACGAAAAAAGTTTCTACTTCCACAAAGGTTATAAAACCATCACAGTTGCCACCAACGAAGTCAGCGACGCATTTCCACAGCCTCAGAGCTTACCATCAGATCAACATGTGGGCATACGGTGAATACCTTAACCCATGTGAATGGGGATGGGAAAATGATGAAAACAACTGTCTGCATCCCATAATGACAAGAGATAAGCATGCACCGGAAGAGCTACTCAACATTATAAGATGTAATTGCAAGACAGATTTTAGCAACCGCAGATGTTCGTGCAAGAAAGCTAATCTGCCATGCACAGCTGCTTGTGGCCCTTGCCAGGTTGATGGCTGCGACAATGTTGATGAAGTAGTTTATTCTGATGATATTGATGGTGATGTTGACTTATTCATAGTCTGCATCCATACTGTTATGAAAGGAAAATTTTGCATTTGGACACAATTAGACCTACATGAAATAGACTGTGAATACTGAGCGAAATGATAAACGAAACGGCTAAGTGAACTGACAAAAAATTCAAGTGAAAACATGTATCACATTTTACCTATTGTTAAATTACCATTTTCAGATTGTGTATCCCATAAAGCAATGTAAGATGCATTTGACTTTTTCGTTTATGAGTGGATTGTGGAGACACTATTTTTTGTGCTTTTAGACCAAGTGGTTGAGGAGTTATGATCATCCATTACTTGTTACTTGTTATTTGTATAGCGCCTTTCTTTTCAGTTACAAAGCGCTGAAGTTCTTTTTCCCTGGTCATTGGGTCTACATGCTAAGTTTTGCTGCTGGTAATCAGCGCATGAGCAAGTAACCCCACTAGGTCCCCATTTATACTCCTGGGTGAAGAGAAGCAATGGAGAGAAAGTGTCTTGCTCAAGGACACAAGCGAAATACACAGTGAGGGATTGAAACCCCGACCTCTAGGTTGGGAAAAAAAACCGATCCCACAGCGCCATACCGCTTCCACAATCATCATGTTATATAACGGTAATTGACCTTTGACCCTGAATATTTGATCAACGCAGCTACTAAAAAGTGTAAAATGTTTTTATATAAATTGATCCCAAACACCTAGATGTAGCCACTATTTTTGTACATCTAGGCAAACTGGTTTAGGAGTTATTACCATCACAGTTCTATATAGGTCACTGACCTTTGACCCTGAATATTTGGTCAACGCAGATACTATAAGGTGGCAAAAATGCTTTTAATAAATATTGATCCTCAAAACCTAGTTGTAACCACTATTTATGTGCTTTAATTTAACTAGAGTACAAAATCTGTCTCTTATACACATCTAGATGTGTATAAGAGACAGTTATAGCATTATCGTTCAACACCACAGGGTCGCAGATCATCACTGGATCCTTTGATCACACGGTGTGCTGTTGGGATGTAAGAAGTGGCAGGTATATAGACATTGACATTATGTTAAACAGTTAAACTGAAAAATACAAGGAAGGTAGAAAGGCCTATTCAAGTCTGTTTATATGGTACTTTGGTATGTGCCAATATTCATTCTGTAATGCATATAGAAATATCCTGATCTGTCCATCCCTGTGATTGGCTGTATTGTAGCATTCTGACCACCCTAAACTTGTGGAAATACATGGTGTAGCATGACAGTACTGGCCTTCCACTCAAAAATACTGAGGGTTCTTGTTTTAGACTGGCAGATTTGTGGGTAGATTTTTGTAGTATGCAATGGAGTACTTCCTCGAAACATTGTGTACGATTGTTTATGAATCTAATGGGCATCTTCACTTTTTGAGAGTAACAATTGAGGCATGCCATCCCAAAACCAGCGTACTGTCGCTATGTTTAACTTAGTAATTATCATAAGAATGTTTCAGTATTCTATACATTAGTACTGGGAAGCCATAATACTTTTACTCATAACCTTGGCAACAAGTTGATTCGAGCAAGTGATCTAATGGGAGAATAAGATTAAATTACCAAGTTAGTTTTCATTTGTTTGTGGCTGATGCTGGTTTTGGGATGGAAAGCCTCAATTGTGACCAACTCTGGCAAAACCAGGCACTTGTTGTCAAAACGATTCTTCAAATTATCTAAAATTCCCATGTATTGAACATCTTAATACCTGTTAGACCGAAAATTTGCAATTGTTATCAAATTTTAACCATTTTTGCATGAATTATTTGCTTTTGACCTGTAGGTAGAAACAAGAGCCTGTTTTTCATATAGTCGGTCACAATTTAAGGTGCACAAAACCCACCTTTTTTCATGCTCAAGGATATTTTTGTTTTGTCAATTTCCGTCAGTAGAACCCAGAACTTGTCAATATGGTTGTAGGCACCATTGCTTCATAGCTACAGTATTACATAAAACTAACTTAAATGACTAGTTCAATTTTGCACAATTTCTTTTGTTTTTCTATAAGGCAAATATACACCCTGATAGGTCATCGAGGTGAAATAAGCTCAGCACAGTTTAATTATGACTGCTCATTGGTTGTTACTGGTTCCATGGACAAGACATGCAAGATCTGGTCGACTGATAGCGGAAAGTGTGTAGGCACCTTGCGGGGACATGAAGATGAAATCCTGGACGTGGTGTTTGATTACACAGGACAGTACATCGCAACAGCATCGGCAGATGGTAAATAAAGTTTTTTAAAGTAACAAGTATTTATGTAATGTATGCACTGATGTATTTTGCATTTTAGAAGACGAATAAGTTATAGCTTACTGTCCAAATGTTATCAGAATTATAATATACATAATAATATACTATCATAATAATCTTTGATTCCTGTTTGTACATTGCAGGTACAGCACGCGTATACAACGCCACCACACATCAGTGTATCTGCAAACTTGAAGGTCATGAGGGTGAAATATCAAAGGTCAATAAATATTTATATTTTATGTAAATCAGTCGGTCTATTAAGTTTTCAAACATATCAAATTATACAATTCCATGTATTTCTACTTATTTTTTAATTGACAAACATATATTGAAATTCAAATATTTTAAATGGAGCCATGGCCTTGTGGTTAAAATTTTCACCTCCAACTCACAGGGTTTTGAGAAACTCTAGTTCTCTTCCCATCCCCCCCCCAATCAGCCTAATAAGGAATTTGATAGTGCATATAATATGGTTAAGGTGAAACTATAGTTTTGTGGTTAAGGTGCTCACTTTTGAATCCCAAGATCCTGGGTCCAAATCCTGCAAAATGTCAGACTTGGTTATAGAGCATCAATGGTTCTATAATTATGAGATACACCAGTCCATACATAGGCAATATAAAAATGACTTTTGTCTCCGATAGATTGCATTCAATCCACAAGGAAGCAAGATATTGACAGCAAGTGCGGATAAAACAGGCCGGTTGTGGGACCCTAGGACTGGCACATGTCTGCAAGTATTAGAGGGACATACTGATGAAATCTTCAGCTGTGCTTTTAACTATGAGGGCAGCACTATTATAACAGGTAGTTACATGCTATAATTTGATGTTCCTAGTTTTTTCTAATGTTTTCATAAGATTGAGAATGATGAAAAGTAGGCAAGACATTTATTATATTATAACTTTTAACACTTTTACCACCACTATTTTATAATGTAACATAACATCCCCCACTAAAATATGTATATTTCTCCTTCACAAAAAAATATAAAAGATATTTTTTCCCCAAATGAAAAAAAAATATAACAGTTGCCAGTGTTGTGGCTTCGAATCATTTTTTGGAGCTATACAGTAGTTTGCCTTTCAGTCCCAGGAATAGAGCCTTTAAAAAGGTAGTATTTAATCAACAAGCCTCATAATTAGACAAAATAGATGATTTCTATAATTGTCCTTGCTATTATATGTGGAAAAAACATTGATAAATGATGGATTCTTTTTGTTTGTCAACAGGTAGTAAAGACAACACCTGCCGTATCTGGAGATGATGATATAATTGATAAATCACCTTTGACCTAATGCTGACATCATGAACAATAAAACCAAAAAGAAATGTGATCAATTTAAAAAAATTTGTTTACTACTTGAAGCAAAGATAATTGTTTGATAAATATCCTCTCGCCCCAGCTGCTAGTGGTGGTGTTGTTTCTGGTGGAACAGTAATTTTTGTCCCGTCCAAGCTTGTCATGTAAATAGCCAGCGAGTTCATTAGAATTGAGTGCAATTTGACAGCTTCCATCCAATTCACTTCAAACTTCCAATAAGAAAAAAAAAATGAAGCGTACATTGCAATCTTTATTAATAAATCTTGTTATAAAATGAGGTCCATTTACACTATATGCAAAATGTAAATATTATTGATTCCTTAGGAATCTTCCATTCTTTAATTTAACTAGAGTACAAAATAGGGGGGGGGGGAGCAGCGTAAACAATGTATTTACTCTTAAAATTATGAAAAGAAAAATATAAAAATCATCATTTAATTGTGTACTCTTTTTTGGGCAAAAGAGGGTAGTATGTATGTATTCTTTCAAAATGTCCCTTCTGGTTTATTAATGACAGCCTGTCTTCTGCTTATTGCAGTATAACAGTATCCCCAGCTTTTTTTTTTTATTGTTTGCACTAATATTTGAATCTATTTGAATGTGTGGTTGCAATCCGATACGATGTGGTGGTGTTTTGTTGTTCATCTTCTATTCCATCTAGAATATTCCCTTTTTCTATCAACATTAATTCATGAACTATATTACTGTTTTCACACATACAACAATTTGAATCTAGACTATACCCCATCACAGCCTGCCTCTATGCTGGAATTATATTAGCGCATAGCCTTGTTTAGGTTTTTATAGCGCACAATTTCAAATAATATTTTGTCGCTTGCAAATATATAGTTAATAAAATGTGTGCCAGACAGTGTTTTGTGTATTAAAGAATCATGATTTTGTATTTTTCATTGTCAGTAGAATAGATTTCCAAGTTCTCTGTACACATTCTCCAACACTGTTGCGTATTATATTAAATTTTTCTTAAATAATTCATGAAAAATGAAGCCTTGGTGCTACTGCCTAAAGGCTGTAAATATTGAGGTGAAAATTTGTGACTGGCTCAGGCAAAACCAGCTAGAATTTGGTTGAGTACAGTATTAGCGTAGTTATGAATACAGTTAAACTTAGTTGACGTTGCCTAACTCGAATAATTTCCAAGTCGACCTAATTGTACATGGCAAATTGTTGTTTTTCATTAATTACGATCTCCAAGTCAAATTTTATCTAATTTTGGATTTGACTTAGACAAGTTCAACCGTATTTAATTCATTGGATATGAGCCATGTAGGTTTTGAGTAAACAGTTTCCAAAGATTCCAAAATCAATAGTTTATTAAGATTTGTATTTTAAAAGTAAATTTATTATACTTAGATTTGTTGATTGATATTTTGCAGAAATGTTCCATATATCATCTTTTATAAAATGCAAAAACATGAACATTGTGGGTGCTTGTGAGGATTTTGCCAGAGCTGGCCATATGCAAATTGTACTTTAGTGTGCCATGTAGATATGAAGTCCTAGCTAGCTTTATATTGTTCTTAATGTCAATGTATTATTATTAATCATTATTAATTAGGCAAATTTTTAAGCCACATTGTTATTGATGTGTAGAATTAATTATGCTTTAGGATGCTTGTCAAAAGTTCTTGCAAGTTTACTGTATGTGATTAAAACTTTATTGTTCTTGTTAAATTCGAATATTAAAACATGTATCAAAATATACTGTACAATTTTGGTTTATTTTAAAACAATAATGGAAGTATTGTATAGCTGTGTTAGTCTTGACAATAATATTCATGAGTAATAATTAGGTAGTACTCTGAGACTAACTTTGGATATGAAATTTATTTAACACAAGCTTTTGCTGGCAGTCAATGCCAGCTTCATCAGGGGTGTAAAGTAGAAAACCTTCAAACTTTAGTCTTGTTATGCAAGCTTGATAAAATTTCTGCAAAGGTATTTAGCAAACAAACATCTTTAAAAACACAATCCTTCTCATTTAACTGAACTCTCCGTGCTCTCTGAATGATGTGTTGAAACAATTCAAAATAAATTAAACAATTCAAATACTTTAGTTAAAAAACATGATTTTGGGGCACGTAACTAATAGGGACCCATTCGAAAAATAGCTGTTAAAAACAATTTCCAACATAATATTTTTGAAGAAAAAAAAACGGCTCCTGAAATAGTAGAACATGGAAGCTTTCAAGGAAAATTGAAGACTCACAGAAACCACCTGCCCTCCACCCCCCCCCCCAGCCATACCTTGGGTTCACTGCTGAATTGGTAGTAAAAGAAACTTGTTGAATATAATTAAGAAACTTTATACATGTAAAATGCAAAGTAATATTTAAGTAAATCTCCAATTTTATTTTAAATATTTGTAAGTGAATTGTATACAGTGATTAAAAACAAAAAAAAATTAGGTGTAAGCATATTTAATGTTAAAATTGGCAGTCTGTTTTGGCCAGATGATGTGGTGTTAATGGCAGATAATGCTCAACACTTGTACTTACTATTGGAAACTGCACAAAAATTTTCAAGAAAATCTAAACTCGCTTTGAATTACGACAAATCTAATGTTTTATTACAGGACAACGACTTCATGTACATAGGAAATGGTGACTCTGAAATTATTATATTCTTGAAAGTGAAACATATAAATATCATGGAGTACACATTTCTCCATCATTATCCGATATACACCATATAGACCAAGTAATCAAAAAGGCAATGTATATAGAAAATGTAGTATTAGGACAAACTTTTTATTTCCATTGTAAAGAATATTTAATTAATGTATGGACAAAGTAGATCTTGTCCATGCAATTTTTTTTTGTATATTTTCATTGTAGTTTGTGAAATGTGTTGTTATTTGGATGCACCACCAAGTGGTGTGTGTCACTGATACAAAAGTGTTTCAATGAAGTTCAGTTCATTACGACAACATAATAAGTATTGTCACAATAGAAAGCCCACATTTACATGCATTTGTATTTCATTCAAAGGATCACAATACTGTATTGTATATTGTTGAGCAGACACCAACTTCCTCAAAAGGTAAGCCATTTTTAAAAATTTTGTAAGTGTGGTATTCATTCAAAGGATCACAAGCAGACTCCAACTTCCTCAAAAGGTAATTCCATTTTTAACATTTTGTAAGTGTAGGCTTAACACTATATTGTATCCATTTAGAAAAAATACAAATGCACAATATATGTTCTACAGTAGGCCTAAGTACCATATAGCACAGAAAATTCAGTTTATCTGATATTATCTACCACTCCTTTACCATTTCATTCAAATTACAAAAAAATGAAAAGCTTCCTGTTGCACATAATTCAACAGTGGCAGGTTTAAGAGAGAAGCAGTTCCCCCCATTCAAAGGAGAAAAAAACTATCTGTTCAAATTTAACACACTAAGAAGGGTGTCCTTCATTCTGTTTCCAGTTGGCTGCAAATGCTTGGGGGTTCTTTATAGAATACATGACAAAGCTATTAGCAAATTAGTCTTTCCCTGAACTGGGACCACTGGTCATCGACGGCCCTTTGTTCCTGATAGGATAGGAAACAATTTTCCAAAACCCATTTAAAATACCCATATCATGCATTCCCTTTCTCAAAAGGCTGGATAAACGCCTGTTCAATCTTTCAACCTGTTCAACTTTCGTTTTTGTTTGCAAAAAACTTCTCCCTATGCTACTTTCAGATACGTTCTGCCATTAAAGCCTAGCCCTACTGAACTTTTTGCAAACATTCTTCAAATTTGATGGCTCTCAAAAAGTCCAACGTGTCAATTTAGTCCGAGAGCTAATATCACATACACAGTATTTTAAATAAAAAGAAAATTTTATTTTTGGTCGATTAGCACACTCACCGATACAGACAAATGGAAATTTCAGGAAAAAATTCAAGTTTTGTTTACGCCCATTGCTGCCTTGAAATCTCCAAAAATAAGGTATTGTATGTATATTTCTTCCTAATTATATAAATTTAAAGCATTTAACCATGCCTTTAATAGGTGTTTGCTCTCACAAATTAAAATATTATTATTTTCTTCTCCTTTTGGATATTTTTGGCAAAACCATTTGCAATTGGGAAAACAAAATTTTATTCTTTTTTCCACCCTCCTGACGATCTTTAAAAAACAGGAGTTCGCGAAACAAGGTATAAAAGTCTCGCTTAAACTGGGGTACATATACAATACATGATTGCATTTGTATCCACAATTAAACATTGCTTAAAAATATACAGTTAAACTTGCCTAAGTCGACTGTCAAGTCGAATAATTTCTAAGTCGATCTTATTTTAAATGCCAAATTGTTGTGTTTTCTATTAATTAACAATCTGTAAGTCAAATTTTATTCAAGTCAAACAATATTTCAGTGGCATTTTTTATTCGACTTAGTCAAGTTTAACTGTACATCCATTTTACATTATCTCAATCAAAATTTAATGTTAGTGACATCTTTTTTAGTTTGAAATAATTTTTAAAAAGTATTGTTCTTATCAAATATGTAGGCATACAAATATGATCTGTTGAAATGGTGGAAATAATTACAGAATTCAGACCAGTAGCCGTGTTCTTTCTAACAGAAGTAACAATCGAATGTAAGATAAAGGGGATGGCTGAACATCATGTAGCATCATGGTTTCACGATGAAAAAGCAATTACATTTGGTGAAGAGGTCATTAAACATGAATTTAACATAATACTCCAGTGTGCCACGGATGGTATACACACGTACACAATCAAAATGGATGCTGAACAACCTCTTGAAGGAATGTACACAATGAAAGTCTATGAACGAGGTCCAAATAGAAATCTGGATGTTGTAGCACAAAAAGATATTGCTTGCCTTGAAATTAAACGCAGATATGAACATGAAGATATCCGATTTGAATTTATCGGATATACTCCACCACTGTGTAAGATCCACATATTGCATTTTTTGTACCAAATACATTGGCCTTAATGTTATAACAAGCCTACATATTATCTCTTTATTTTAAGTTTATTATATATATTTATAAATGCTTATATCCTATCTGAATTTCAATTCTTTTACAGTGTAACAAAAAAAAAATCAGATGGGAACAATTGTTTTATATTTTTTTAACAGACATACAAACATACTTTATCTTAAAATGAGCCTATATAGATGTATTTCTTAAAAGAAAAATAGAAAATAAAAAAGAGGAGCAAACAAGAGCTAGGGTGCATGAAGTTGTTTGGAAATATATTTTTATTGTGGCTCTAAACATTGAATTTAGCTAACTAACAAAGTATTATATTTGAACAAATTATTTGATATTTTGTCATAAATTTTTAATAAACAATGTTGACTGCATTTAATTAACTGAATATTTAGTTACAGGAATTTTCTTGATATCCATCAATAAAATAAAGAATTGACAACAACCTTAATTTGTTTAGACTGGTAATTTGATGAATAGGTTTCAAGGGCCTGTTTCTGTATGATGTAGTTCTTGTGTTTGTTTCAAGAACACCACCATAAACCTTTGCAAATATGCAGGAGGTATTGCTGTACTTCAGCAACCAAGTCAGGCCCGTAACCTGTGGCATTTTGGGGTTCAATCAAACTCCCTTTTTGAACAGTTTACTACTGTAATGGTATTTTATCATAACATTTTTCAAATATGAAACACTTCTGACCTTGAGTTAAACTTGGCCTGAACCTGTAGGAAACACCACTTTAACATGAACCTGGTTACAGGCCTAAAAATAAGTTTACTGGTGAATGTAAATAGCGTAGTTGGGATGGTTAATGCTTCAAATTTATATCATAATTAGAAAGAAATTAACATATCTTGCCTAACAATTCCTTCACCAACAAATCAATAAGAAAAATAAGTGATCAAATCAACAAACATAATCGTTCAAACCAATAACTTCTTCCTTATCAATCGTTGATGATACAACAATTAATTATC